ATGTTTTGATTATAGCTTTTGATTCAATAATAACCCAAGAACGGACTATACTATACTTTATTACAGGACAAGAGCCAACAACTGATTTAAGTAGTATGTATAACAGTTTTCTCCAGAACAGTTATTTAGGTAGTATTTGAGTGAATATTACAGTTGTACAATATACTATAATATAGACTATATTAATAATGGTTAATTAAAAAAGTTGAAATTCTTATTTATTATTTACATGAAATAACTTTAACATTAAAATTTAAATTGAATACATCATCTGTATGATATTATAGACCTAACTGACTTTAACACGGCAGTATACAACAGACATCAGCTGATACGTACTATATTCAACCATGTTCTACATCACCAAATGAGTAAGCATTTTTATATTATTTATCGCTGCTTTTAAAACGTCGTTAAAACCTAAGTTTGGCCTATAACTAACCTATCTATGCGTTTGTTGGTATCTAGTATGGGTAAACAATAAAAACAAAAATGCTTTTAAATGAGTAGAACAATGACTGTAGTCTAAAGTCCAGCAATAGCAACCACATGATTCAAGCAAAAGCTAATGTATTTATTTTTTAACACTTAGGTAGATCTGGAATAACTATTTTATATGTATTTTATTATTTCTTGTCATAAATTTGTAGTATTTATCGATTGTATTTCTATTCAATAATTATGTCGTATGGTTTCAGATCACTTCCAAATGTGCGTGAATGACGAAGAAAAAAAATGCAAATTGCTCGGAATAATAACGCGTGCATTAAATCCTGGGTTTAGATTTAGACAAAGATGTTATGAAATATTAAGATGCGTTATAGTATTGGAAGGGAAGATTACGGCAGACGGCGTTGTATTAACCAACAAGACACGAGTGGAGAATTATGTAGATCGGCGACTTCCGGATTGTATAACACAGAACTTAAGAGAGTTATAGATTAAAATTTAAATGTTTCGATGTCAATATATAAGTATATTCATTAATAAACTATTATTATAACCAATACTGTCGTCGTATAACTGTTATTATTTCATACATTAGGAAAAACACCAGCACCGCAACAGTTGGATCAAAGGAGGATTTAGAAATCAATATAAATAAGATGTTAGACAATAATAGTGATATTTTAACCCTTAACTGGTACAACACCTCTTACTGCCTCTGCCTCTGCCTTAACTCTTCTCATAACATGACTGAACAATCTCAACTTATTGTCTTTCATTTTCCCCACAAGTGGTTCAACTCCTTGACTCCCCTTATGTATTCATTTCATATTCTATCCAACCTAGTCACTCCACTCGTCCACCTTAGCATTCTCATCTCCGCTACACTCGTTCTATATTCAGTGTTCTTATCTACGGCCCAATATTCCGACCTATATAAAGCAATGGTTGGTGTACTAAGCTCAGGGTTGTTTATATTATATTATATTTATTACTATTAAGTACCTATGTCATTTGGGACTTTACGTTTTTATGCTTATCTATGTATTTCCTAATACGCATTAACTTTCTATGAACACAAGTTATCATAGTGCTGAACCTATTTTTCTGTTGTTTGTTACATTTACTTAATTTGCATATTAGTATGTAAGCTAGGCTTTTACTATGTATAATTGTCAGTCGGTCAGTTTGTGTTTATCTATAATACAGTTCGTTATTACGGTCAACCATTGTCTATTTAAGTGCTTATTTTATTATTATTAAACAGATTAACTTATCTTTATAAAGTGTTTATTATTTCTGAGTATATTTTCATCCTTATAACAAAAAAGGTAGAAGAATTAAGAAACAAAAAATACTTTGTATAAAACAACAGTTCTATTTCATGCGATTATAAAAGCGTGCGCCATTGTGTGTGCTATACTTCAAACATAATACTATCAAAATATCCCAGAAAACGTTATACCTTAAACTTGAGAATTCCTTTGTTATTTAGTTAAACATTTTTGTTTATTTTGCAATAATGTGTTTTTTTTTTGTATTTTTTATTATATATGAATTATACATACAATTTTTAATAAATATTGTTACATATTAAATCCGAATCATTTGAGCTAATGTTTTTGTAGAAGTCTGAGAGTAATATTAAAACAAAAAAATTTCAAGTGTAAAGAATAATTTTCATCGATATTCCATAAAAAAAATGTTAATTTTGGTCTAAGATGTTTTAAGTTGTATATTAGTCGACGAAAGGATATGTTTTATAACAAAAAATGAGGTTTTCATAATCAAATATTTTATCTTATCACTATTAAATTTTATATTTAATTTTTTTGCCCTTTCTTATACCTGTACTACTACTCCATCATGCAGTTTTTCATCCTGTGTTGCTATAAATAAGCAAATCATCAAAGTAGATGTACACATTTTTAATGTCACCAAAATACTCTTGATTTTTATTTTGAAATTCCTCAGGTGCACACGACAACCCAAAGGGTAATTTTGTAAACCTGTAATAACCAAATTGTGTACTAAATGTGCACAAGTAACTCGACTATTCATCTAATTTGATTTGCTAAAATCCAGTCTTCAAATCAAACAACGTAAACCATTTCTTATTGTATAAATTCATTCTTAATTCTTCAAGAGTGGGGATTAAAACTTTACCTCTTATTACTACTTTATTCAATTCAGTGGGATCTAAGCACACACGCAAATATTTATCTGGTTTTTCAACAATAACTATATTACTCGACCATCCATGGGTCCTTTCCACTTCAAATATCACGCCCATATTACACATTTGAGACGAAGTACCTTTTTAATTCACTTTTAATGGATTCTGGGGCACGCCTAGGAGGATTTAACCTCGGTTCACTGTTTTCCTTCATTCTTATCCTATATTCTCTCGGAAAACAATCCAGTCCATTAAGCACATCTTTATATTCATTTACAAGTACATTCAGACAATTATTGGATTCAACGCTTTCTATCTTAGACCTATTAATAAAACCAAACTTAATACATGTATTTAATCCTAGAATAGGTACACATTTACTTTGACTATCATCTACAATAATGAACCTGATATTAATAGATTTTTTTATCTATAGCTTCACATAAAAGTTCAACTGTCCCCATACTTTTTATATCAAATCCACCATAGGCTTTAATCATAATATAAGTATAACTCAATATTTTCCCACAATTAATTTCTTTAAAAATACTATAAGGTATTATATCAATATCTGAACCCGTATCTATTTTAAAATTAATGAGAAAATTACTATTAATTTTAATGATTTCAGTCCACTTTTTTTGTTCAGTTTTACACTAACATTTCCTACTTCAATAGACAATATATCAAACAATTTATACTTAGGTTCATTGTAGCTTATATAGTTATTATGCATACCCTCACCAATGTTATTGACCTCTTTTCGTTGCTGTTCAGTGTCCTTATTAGCTTGGCATCCCACCAAAAAATAATTTAATTTTCCACACTTAACACACGCCTTTCCAAAGGCAAAGCGTTTCCTTTTTCCATGTCGTCTTCCACACTTCTTGCAATCTTAATCCGTATCCATAGACCCATTATTGTTCTTATTGCGTCTTAACTTGTCTTGCTGTCCACTGGTTTTAAAAGTTGACTTACTTTGCATTTCAGTCATATGTACGGCAACTGTCTCAAACTCATCTTGTTTTATTTGGAAAAACTTGAACTGCTCTATTATGACATTAAATTTAGGTTCATAATATTCCTGTAGTAGTTTAAATATTGTGGCTACAGTTGCTGTTGAGTTAGTTGCATTCAACGTTTCCAACAATTCAAAGGCATCATCGCCTATTACACTCAACAATACTGCAACCTTAAGGTTTTCAGTTTTTTCATCCAACTCATTTGCTCTGAGGTACAGGTCAAATTTATTTTTAAATAACTTAATATTATTAATTACTGTTCCCACATCATTAATGTCCAATGGTACAATTGATCCTCCTGCATTCGACTGAGCCATGTTGTATTTATGATTTTTATTAAGCAAAAGTAATTATTACAACATACTTAATTAATAATTAGAAAAAAGTTTAAAGCAGCCAACGGGTACATGTGTTAACTGATAGAGAGGAAAATGAGGATGTATTGAAAAAATAAAATTGTAGGTTATATTACAGCGTTACCCATTATACAACAATGGTTATATATAACAAAGAAATTATTTTTTATTACATAAAATAAAACCTAACACATTATCGTTTTAAATTTTTTTCGATATTTATTAGGTATATAATGAATGTCCAGTAAAAAAAAAGACTGGTCGATGTAAGTTTGGAACAAATATTTATGGATAATTTGAGAAATAGACTGAAGGACAACTTAAACAACTATCATTAATTTTAGACACTCAAAATAATAATAAAAAATAAGGTCAGTACAGTGGGGTCAGGGAATAATGGAGACGGAGCATGATGAGGTCAGGGCATAGTGGGGACGGGGAGGTTACAGTTTTAGAGGCATTTTTAAATCTGTAAGTGATAAAATCACCTTTGAACAAACAGTAGTTGGTATTTTCAAACGAGTAAAGTCCATACCACAGTATAAACCATCATAGCAAGAAAGAATTAAATTAAAAGTGATTGTCTCCGAAAGGGCTAGTACAGTAGAGTATAGGCATAATGGAATCCAAGCATAGAGGGGTAGGAGAGGTTACAGTTCTACAGGAATTATTATAAATAAAAGTGATAAAATTGAATAAAACCACATTCAAACAAACGCATTGATGCTTATTTGTAAATACAGCACCTCAATTTTTATACTTAAAAAATTACTGGAATAACTAACTAAACTTTTTAAAATATTCATATATTCATCTCCTTGTATATAATGTACAACACCGCTGTGCTGGATTTTTTATTGATACATTATTTTTCTGTACTCAAGTTTTTTATTTGTTCAAAAACCACATCACTATATTATCTAGGTTGTATGTATACAAATGGTACGATCGATTTTTCTGTACTCAAGTTTTTTAGTTGTTCAAAAACCACAACACTATATTATCTAGGTTGCATTTATACAAATGGTACGATCGTTGTATATGCCCCAACAGTTGGTTTTGTTCATTTCGAAAACGTACACGAATCCAACAACTCGTCAAATCACATCAGGTAATATTAGTAGTTAAGTTACATAAAAAAATAGTTTTTAGAATCCTCACAGTAGACATACCTAATATTCACTCAAATCAAAATTTTGCAATAAATTTTCCAAAATCTCAAAGTTTTTTTAACACAAAATATGTTTGATCTGAATATAAATTAAAAAAACTAAGCATTTATAAATGCAATATGTTTATGCCGGTCTGATGACATGTCGATAACCAGTTTTGGATAATTATTTTTAAAGTTATTGAAGTTTCAAGTTGAGGGCAGAAGAAAAGGCTGAGTGTAGCATTATTTTTATCTACGTGCACTTCCCCTAGCCTCCTAACTTTTAAACTCTAAAATTAAATTTAATATTATTCGATTATTTTTTTTATACATATTGGAATAATTATTTTAAAAGTTAGTCGAATGAAATATATTAATCTATATTTTTAAAAACTATCCAAATAAAAAAAGAGTTTGAATAACTTTTAATCGAATAATTTGGTATCTAAATGTTAAACTTATGTAATGTCATATTCAAATGATGCAAAACTCTGAATTTTTACTCCGTGTTAGATTAATTTGAGCTACTTAAATGGCAATCGAATTTAGAAAATAATAGAATTTATGAGATTAGAAATTATTTGCTGTTTTCATACCAATGACGCGACGAGGGCAAACTATTTAACTCCTACTTTACAAAAGACCTACTTAAAGTGTGAGAAATCGAAATATACAATTATTTCGGATAAGGACAAATTTAGGATGATCATTTTTTAAGAACATTATCCCGAAAAACACACACTACATTTTTTTTCTATATTCTGTTTCTTGAGTGGGATGATAATATATTGTTTTAGCTTCGATGCAAAGCGAGAAGGTATTGGTTTTACTCTGATGTGGGCTTTTATTTTCGCTGTATACACTGTAACTTTTTTAATACTAGACCAATTCCTTCGAATAGCAACTCTGTAAATCACAAATTTTATCTAGTTTGTACTTTGAAGGAGGTAAAAGTTGAAAGAGTTTAATTTTTCACAGACGAAATTTGAAAAAACAAAAAAAAAACCGTACGAGTTTTTAAGTTAGAACTTTTACTGGCTATAATTTCGAGAAAAAGAGTCGGATCGAGTTGAAATATATAAGAAATAATTATTTGGTATGCCCGCACACGTCAGTTGTGTCAAATTTAAACTATACCCATTTCCCACCCCCCTAGGGGGGGTACAAGTTTTTTTTGTTTTTCGGGGTTTTTAACCGTAATTTTATAACTTTTGGGTTGAAAATTTGCCAGTAGTTGGAACTCATATGTATGCATAACATATTAAACGGGAAAAAAATTCGGCATTACAGTTTTTTTTTAATTACCGGGAAACTGTGTTTTCGCAGATTTCGTATATTTTAACAAAAAACACTTAAAATCTTAAAAAAAATTGTTATCAAATCATTAAAACAATTTTATGTACATCTATGCGGAATGATACTATTAAGTTTTTTGCTCAAGTACCACTTTTGACATTAAGTTTACACAAATTCAATTTTTTTTTTTTTTTACTTTCTGGATGATTAAAATTGAAAACTGATATTAAATTATAGCCTGCGTTATATAACCTTACCGAAGGTCAACTATGAGTATATAAGGTCCAACTACCTGCAAATTATGACGAGGACTGTTGTTTTTTAGATTCAGATTAAGTGTTGGTTTTTATGCAGTATACCGCCTCAAAATGTAATTTTTATTACACTATTTTTTTAAAGGAAAACTAATGTTTTGCATTTTGTTATACTGTTATTCATTTAAAGAGATTCACGCTTGATTGTTTAAATTGTCTAATATTAGATCATCTGCTTCGTGCTAATTTTAATTTTTTAGTTTATAACTTGTAGCTCTTATTTTGTATAAAATATTTCATTATTTTATTACTATGTACAAATTAAGATAAATGTTATTAATAATTAAGTCATAAATGATAATACTTTATTTTATGACTAGATCAAATCTCGTGAACATTTAACATCATGATACTGCTCCTATGCTTTTATTAAAATAACACAATTTTTAAAATCTCCATAAAAGGTTATTGTTAAATAACAGGCAACAGCCGACCGCTATTGGCTATACACGTTAGTAATATTTAACTAATAAGTAATATATGTAGGTTATAGTGATTTTATCCGAGAGGACTAGTACAGTAGAGTATTGGTATAATGTAATCAAAGCAATGAGGAAACGGAGAGGTCACAGGTCTACAAGAATTATTATAAATAAAAGTGATAAAATTGAACAAAATCGCTTTCAAATAAACGCATTGATGCTCATTTGTAAATACAGAACCTTCATTTAAAACTTTTTAACTTTGCTGGTTTATACTGTGCTTGGTTTGGACTGTACTGACTTGAAAATACTAACTACCGATTTGCATCGAAGCGTTTTTTCGAAAGTGATTTTATCACTTTCAGATTTAAAAATTCCTGTAAGCCTGTGACATCCCCGTCACCACTATGCCCCGACCCAACTGTACTGGTTTTTTTTTAAAATGATTAACCATGTAAGGGTGGTTGACAGGTTTCCTAAATAAGGTTTTGGTATATAGATGGGAAAATGCCGGAATTGTGGAGGAAAAGTATTCTTGAAGCAATATCTAAGGGCAATGAAGATGTGCAGGAGTGTGACAATTATAGAGGTGTAAAACTGATTAGGTATGAAGGTTTGGGAAAAGATGGTAGAAAAGAGAATATCGAAGATATTCAATTTGGGGTTTTGCCAGGAAAGTCAACTATGGAATGATTAGGGTGGCCGACCCCATGTAGTTGAGAATGTAAGGCAAAAAGATAAAGAAGATATGGTTTATCCATTTTATAGTTCTAGAATATTGCAAAAAGTATCTTTACTGTAATTTTGTGCAAACACATATGTTATGTATTACTATTGAATTTGACATAATATTATTTTTTTTTAGATATCGATTGAAAATGACTAAGCTACAAGTTTTCTGTTTTTTTGCGATTACTATTTGCATTGTTATAAACAATATAAAATGCGCATCGCCAGACGGTATGACCTAAATATTTGAATCATTTTTTATTTAAAGACTCATATTTATCTATTAAACTATGTACAGATTTGTTTTAATATTTTGTACATTTTAACATACACTTGATATACATTTTGAAAAATAATTATCAAGTTGTACTAATATTTGTATTGACAACTATTTGGATTGATCTTATTAGGTTTTTGTACGATTTTTAGTCTTAAAATTTTATTGTTGTATACAATTATAAACTAGTATTTAATTAAAAACGAACGCAGCCTAACACATATAAATTGACCAACTTTTACCCCAAAATCCAGATGGCTTAATTATGCAAAGTGATATCAATTTCAATTAAACGCTTCGATGCAAATTTTGACACACTAGACCTCACTTTAACACTTACTAAATGTGCTTAGTTTGGACTGCACTGGATTAAACTTCCTACCCACAGATTCGCACCAAAGCTTTTATTTAAGAAGATTTTTATCACTTTCAGCTATAATAATTACTGTAGAACTGTGACCTCGATGACAGTTTGGTATTTTACGAAATTATATGATAATACAATTTATTATTCCAGAATGTCGTGATCAGATTTGTAAGACCAGTGAGTTAAAATTATTATAATTTTTTTTTGACATTTTTATGTCTTAGCTCTGGCACATAACCGAAAAAAGTGTTACCAAAAAAGAGTTACCAAAAAAGCGTAACGAAAAAAGGAATGGGGATGGGATGTGGATGAAGATGAGGTTCGGAGTGGAAGATAGGGGTAGGAGATAGGGGGTGGGAGATAGGGGCGATAGTTTGGGGTGAGAGATATGTTGTATTCACAACGATCAAACTATAACTGAAAAATAAATTCAATGTAATTTAACAGGTCATATTTCCTATGAATTGTCAGATACCAGAAAAAGGCCAGATATTATGAAATCACTAAACTATAAGCCAGAAACTTGATATGTTCACTAGCCACCTTAGATACTAGCTTGTTATTATACTATTTCATTATCTATAATTCCACCACTACTCTAAGTATATTCGGTACTTTAACGAGACACGAAAATGCTCTTTCGTGGTTGAAGACTCAGCTGATAAATTTTATTTTTAAGCCATTTAGGCAATTTGTAACGTTATTTCATAATATGTAGTTGAAAACTTATTAATTTGTGTACGTTATATTGTGCTAATTTGTATTACAAATTCATTAAATAATTTAACGCTTTATCCTGATCACAAAACATATAAAATTGCCTGTAAATAACTGCTTATTTATATTTTAATACTAAAATTTAATCTGAACTAACATGTGCTACTTTAATGTGTTTGTGACCTTCAAAACGAGAAGATGTTTGTATACGTTTTCCAAACAATATTTTTTTATATATAATAAAATTACTCTTTACTTCCTTGTTTAAACTATTTTAGCAAAGTCAAAAATTAATAAAGTAAACGTCACTCAAAAATTTAACTTAAGTTAATAAAAAAATACCACTTTTAACCTCCTAATATTAGGGGTATTTAAAAATGACCATCAAGTTTGTAATTGAGTAACCTCGAATACATAACCTACACATTTTTTTTATTTAATGGTGTAAATTTTTAGCAGTAATAGTTTAAGCCAACATTCGTCTAGTGGTTTATCAAAAATAAAGACCAAATCAGTATAGAGTGCCACAAGCTAAAGATAGTACAAGCAACCATTACATAATTTTGTTATAGAACCATTTTTTTTTTTGTGTATCCAACCTCTTATGATCGCTTTGACTACATTGTATATTGTATTTGTTAATTATGTAAAATTTGTTTTGTTTTTAGACAACAAACTTAGCAATTTAACTGACAGTGAGTGTTTATATAGTTAATAATATAGTATATTATATTTAAGAGAAAAAAATAATTTTACAGAATATATGAAGTTTGGTAAAAATAAAAAATAAATAGGTACAGTCTAAACTCTAAACGGCGCCATACTTTTAATGTAATAAGGCAGAATTCCGTCCATCATGTTTAGATTTTCCAGTTATTTTAACCAATTGATGATATTGTTAATAATTGAAAATAATACTAACTAATCCATAATGATCACATCATAATTGTTATATGTATGTCTCCTAAATTAGTACAATATGATATAACTTACAGTATGAGCTAATTTTCATACTACTACTAAGCTATCATTGTACTTAAAAGATAGATGTTAGGTCATATACCACTTTTAAACGTGCTCTATCTCTTTCTACAATACCTTCATTTCATTGTTAATAAAAGTCATGATTTTCTTCTTCTCCTTAGTTCATGGCCTAATACTTCTTCTGCAGATCTTTTGACTACAGTTTCCATTTATTTTCCAAATGTAATTTATATCCGTAGGTAACATTATCTGAGGCATCTAACTACTCAGTTATTTTTTCTTTGTAATCTTTGGCCTGGTTTCCTTTCAATATTTCTTTGTTAATTTTCTGTGGACACTTATCTTTATTAATTTGGATCTTTCTACCTATATGCTAAATTTGACCTTGGCTCTCATCATGAAGTGATCAGAAAGTGCACTACTGCCCCTCATGCTTTTTACGTCGTTTATGCTTAATCTAATTCGGTAGTCTACCACTACATGATCTATTTGATCTATACGTGTTTTTAATATATTTTGACTTTTTAAATTGGTTTGTGTTAGCTTTCAAGGTATCATTTAATGTATGCAATTGTTTTCATGATTTATTTAGTCATTTTTGTAGTGAAAATTGACTTTGATATAAGTACACATAACACATCTTTGTTAAAATTCCCCAAACTTCTTCAATCTCCCCTAGAATTATTGACTATCTGTGCTATGCATACCTCACTTTAATGTTTTATTAAATATTGAATGGAAATTGCTAAGTTTATTTAACGAATTTATTAATAATTTGTTTTGTTCTTTGACTCCAGATCAAAAATACCAACTGGTCAACGGTCTCATTCGTGCATACTCATATGGTATTGTTATGTGTAAATTATTATTTTTGTTTTATGTAAACTCGTTTTTACAATATTAGGCTATTAAATTGCCATTGCTTACCGTATAGTTTTGTTGTACTATCAATACCGTTTGTCATGTTGTACACTTTATCAGTACATTTAATCGTTCATTTAAAAATTGATGTCTAAGGAACCGTTAAATTTGTATTAATTTATTAAACGTTCACGCAACTCGCATGGACCACTTTTTTTTTATTTTTTAAACAAATTATTGGTGTTTTTTTTCAGCGCGAATTCAGGTTTTGATTTTTCCGCCAGGTAATTTACAATTGTTTTATACGATTAGGTAATATCATAGACCTACAAAGTAATGAACTGGACCTATCACACTGCACCTCCCATTCTAACTTAAAGTTTAAATAACATTAAAAGAAATTATTAAAAACTGGTTATTGACGAGTCTAAATATTCATCAAAGAATATATGATCATCTTGAATTTTAAAGAAAAAATGTTACAAAAATTATTGAAAACCGAAAACAGTTATTTGCAATAAAAAAAACGTCGTTTTTATTTTGTAGTGCAAATGAGTATAAATTTATTTAAAAAAAAAATCATAAAACTATTCACTAGAACAAGAGTTCTCTCATTTTTCTAATCTTTGTGAGACACTCTGTATTAGACAGTATTCTTTGAAATGTTGTTAGTAATGTGTATAATATATATACATATATATATATATATATATATATATATATAAATATATATATTATTGTAAGTTATTACTATTAGGTATGTTTGAATGAATATCCCTCACAAATCTGCATCCAAGATTGAAAAAATTGATTAGTTTTTGTGATATCAATACCTTTTTAGTTCCTCTTTCAAGCTATACCTAATATGTATACATGTATATAATCAAAATCACAATGTTTAATAATAATACAAATTATATTACTATTAGTAATATACCTATGATCGATGTTAATGGTATAAGATGATACGACTTGCCGATGCATGATATTCTCTTTATCTGATCTTATTTTTACTTAAATTGTGCGTCGAATATCAAGTGTTATTGTGTATGTTTTCTAGTTCTGACGTGTATTTGACTTTTATTACATTTCATTAACAATACACATTTATAACTAACAAACTATTTAGAGGATGTCCGTAATTCTACATGTTAATATACTAAAGATGTACTTAAAAATTTTTTTTTTTCTAAATTTACCAGTTTTATTATTAATTAGGTAATTAATATTACAAGTTGGTAAATTTATATCAAAACAAAATTTGATTAAACACAAAATGTACATAAAAGTTTCATTTTTTAATTAAAAAGATTTTGTCGATTACTTAAATATATATGGCACGTTTTAACAGTAACATTATAAAATCGAATCTTTTTTTCAGTTCCTGAGTTAATGGCAAGCAGAGGCAGGGCGAAAGGTAAAAAATTATCGTCCGCATAACTTATAATTAATAGTAACTATGATTATAAATGACTTTTTTTTGTGATATTTTATGTTAGGCAGTGTAATTTTACATAAAATGACACATTTTAATGGGGAATGTTTTGATTATAGCTTTTGATTCAATAATAACCCAAGAACAGGATATACTACAATTTATTACAGACCAAGAGTTAGCAATTGAGTATGGTAAGTATAACAGTATTCTCCAGAACAATTATTTAGGTAGTATTTGAGTGAATATTACAGTTGTACAATATACTATAATATAGACTATATTAATAATGGTTAATTAAAAAAGTTGAAATTCTTATTTATTATTTACATGATATAACTTTAACATTAAAAATAAAATTAAATACATCATCTGTATGATATTATAGACCTAACTGACTTTAACACGGCAGTATACAACAGACATCAGCTGATACGTACTATATTCAACCATGTTCTACATCACCAAATGAGTAAGCATTTTTATATTATTTATCGCTGCTTTTAAAACGTCGTTAAAACCTAAGTTTGGCCTATAACTAACCTATCTATGCGTTTGTTGGTATCTAGTATGGGTAAACAATAAAAACAAAAATGCTTTTAAATGAGTAGAAAAATGATTGTAGTCTAAAGTCCAGCAATAGCAACCACATGATTTAAGCAAAAGCTAATGTATTTATTTTTTAACACTTAGGTAGATCTGGAATAACTATTTTATATGTATTTTATTATTTCTTGTCATAAATTTGTAGTATTTATCGATTGTATTTCTATTCAATAATTATTGTATTGTATGGTTTCAGATAACATCCAAATGTGCGTGAATGACGAAGGCAAAAAATGCAAATTGGTCGGGATAATAACGCGTGCATTAAATCCTGAGCATAGATTTACACAAAGATGTAATGAAGAATTTAAATGCGTTATAGCATTGGAAGGGATGATTACGGCAGACGGCGTTGTACCAACATACAACACACGAGTAGAGAATTATGTAGATCGGCGACTTCCGTCAGGATTGTATAAAACAGAACTTGAGGCAGTTATATAACTATATTCATTAATAAACTATTATTATAACCAATAATGTCGTCGTATAGCTGTTATTATTTCATATATTAGGAAAAACACCAGCACCGCAACAGTTGGATCAAAGGAGGATTTAGAAATCAATATAAACAAGATGTTAGACAATAATAGTGATATTTTAACCCTTAACTGGTATTATAGGGTTAAAGAATAGGCCAAAAAAAATATTTGTTGCTCATATCGATTATATTGTCAACTTATTTTTTGGTGATAAAATTTCACAAAATGTATTTGGTAAAACTAATGGAAAAATTACGGAGTTGAGCGAAAAATATGTCATATTTTTCGCTACGATAATTTTACATTCATTTTATAAAGTTTAAATTGGTTTCTCTATAAAAACAAAAGAAGAGGTGACTTTTTATTGAAAAGTATACATATTTTAATCATTAAAGCTCATTAAATGTCTTCCATATCAAATTTCAATATTAGGCCATATGATTAAAACTGTCCAATCATACAGCAATCTGAGACATATCTTAGATATTGAAAGAGAATTGATTTTTCTCGTCTTAGGGATCCAAAAGAAATCTTTCATTCACTTAACCATTTTTTATAATTTGTGACTTTGTCGACGCCCATCCCTTGTTGTGGCACTGCTAAAAATCGGCTTATACCTTCTTCTTTATCTTTGCTTTACAATCCCAAATACACGGGGTCGGCCACCCTAGTCCTACACCTCAATAAAGCCTCTTATCTGTCTATCCATCTTTTTTTAGGTCTTTTCCCTCAACACTCATCTTTATAACACCACTGACTGCCTCTGCCTTAACTCTTCTCATAACATGACTGAACCATCTCAACCTATTCTATTTCATTTCCCCCACAATTGGTCCAACTCATAGACTCCCCTTAAGTATTCATTTTTTATTCTATCCAACCTAGTCACTCCACTCGTCCACCTTAGCATTCTCATCTCCGCTACACTCGTTATATATTCAGTTTTCTTATCTACGGCCCAACACTCCGACCTATATAAAACAACGGTTGGTGTAAGAAACCCAGGGTTGTATATATTATATTATATTTAGTTACCTATGTCATTTGGGACTTTACGTTTTTATGCTTATCTATTATGTATCATTGGTTGACTTTATTTCCTAATACGCAATAACTTTCTATAAGCACAAGTTATCCTAGTGCTGAACCTATTTTTCTGTTGTTTGTTACATTTACTTAATTTGCATATTAGTATATAAGGCTTTTACTACGTTTATCTATGATATAGTTCGTTATTACGGTCAACCATTGTCTATTTAAGTGCTTATTTTATTATTATTAAAGAGATTAACTTATCTTTATAAAGTGTTTATTATTTCTCAGTATATTTTCATCATTATAACAAAAAAGGTAGAAGTATTAAGAAACAAAAAATTCCAGTACAGTGGGGTCGGGGCAAAGTGGGGACGGAGAGGTCACAGGTCTACAGATTTTATTGTAACTGAAAGTGATGAATCACTTTTAAATAAACGCTTCGATGCGAATCTGTGGATAGTATGTTCGAACCAGTTATAGCGGTTTAGAAGATATCGTGGGACCATCAAAAATGTACTTAAAATTTAATATTTACTCTTGTGCAGGGTGGATACGATAAAGGTTGATCGTCCGTCTATAAAAATGTACTGTCGTAGTTACCCATATATCGTAATTAACAATATAATGAAAATATTTTCATTACCTTTTGACTGTTGATTCACTCACACATAGCAACCTAGAAACTGACTACGGCCAAAGTGTAAATTTACCCTTTTTTTGGTGTTTTTCCTAAATAAAAAAAAAGAATTTGACTACAGAATGTTGAGAAAATTGTAAATGTTATAGTTCCATTTTAGATCAACCTTCTGACTAGTTTTCAGATCAAAATCTCTAAAACTTTGCTTGAAAAAGTGAAATAAAGAAAAAAAATTCTATCCCTTCTAAGGGGAAAAGTTTATGATACTTTTTTGGTTTGTTAATGTTTATCGATAGTACTATGTTTGAAGAACAATTCATATAAATTTGGAACATTTTCGACTATTTTTAAAAAAGTTATAGACCATCGTAATTTTAAGTTGAAAAATGTTTTTTTTTAATTTTTTACACGTAATAAACAATCTGTATCAATTATACTAGGCACAATAAGAATATGTGATAAATTTTATAAAATCATGAAGTTTTGTTGAAAGAAGCCACCCATTGATAACACTTTCTGTTAACTTGATATTAATTTAATTGAAGAGATCTCGACACCAATTACGCTTCAGGCGTCTCGGAGGATTACCAGATATTGTAGGGGTGGCCAATTTTTTTATTAATGGATTTGGATGATTATTTAGGCGGCTATGGAATCTTTTATAAAAGATTTTTGCTTCATCATTTATTGTTTTTAATTTTAAGTCGGAATGTAGTGTATGATTTGACACGTAGGGTGGAGCATTCGTTAGTTTTCTAAGTGCAACATTTTGAAAGGCTTGGATTTTCATTATGTTTGACTTTTTCACATAGCCCCAGAGTTGCAGGCCGTAGGTCCATAGTGGTTTTAAAAATGTTTTATGTATAAGAAGTTTTGTTTTAATAGAGGTGTATATATTATTGGTTAATATGGGTTTGAGCATGCGAAGACAATGATTCAATGCTAATCTTTTAGTTTTGATGTGTTGAGCCCACGTTAATCTTTGATCTAGGGTGAGGTCAAGATATTTGATTTTAGCAAGAGTAGGGAATTGGAGTACCGTAAAGAAGAACATTAGGACAAGGAGTATGTCTGAGGGTAAAGGTTGTATGAACGGATTTATCCTGGTTAACTTTAAACCGCCATTTTGTAAACCATTTTTCCATAGCTTTAAGGTGAGTTTGTAAATTAATTGACGCTATGATTGGATCTTTATTAATAGATATTAACGCTTTGTCGTCAGCGTAGTCAGCTACTGAGGTGTTGGGATAGTAAACTGGTCAGAAGCAAAGATGTTATAAAGAATTGGAGCCAAGATGCCACCTTGAGGCACGCCAGCATTTATGGAAGCTATATCAGAAAGAGCGGTGGCGAACTTGAAAATGTCGATCCGTTAGGTAGGATTTGATGAGTAGGTAGTAAGTGGGAGGAAGGAGTTTCTTAATTTTATATAAGAGGCCATCATGCAATACCCTATCGAAGGCTTGTGAGATGTCTAAGAATACGCAATTGCAATAAAGTTTTTTTTCAAGAGAATACGATATGGCGTCTACGACTTAGTGTACTTGGTGTATGGTTGAGTAGTTGAAAAATGTATACATTTTTTAGGTGTTTTTCTCGATTTTGATGGGGAAGGGGTGACTTTTTTTTGCCCGATAAAGTACCTTCCAGGTATGATTTTTGATCTATAGAGTTGCTACACGAAGAAATCGGTTCAGCGGTTTACGAGGTATCGTGGGTCCAGACACAAAAAAAATAAAAAATAAAAACACATCATTGTAAAAACAATACCTTCTCAGCTCCGCATCGAAGCTAAAATACTTTGGATAAAACAACATTTCTATTTCATGCGATTTTAAAAGCGTACGCCTTAAAATGGCGGCATTCGGTTAATCTTATTATTAATGTGTATAAAATACACTTATTTCAATTGTCGTATTATTGGATACAATTGTCAACTTCATTCTCTGGGTTTTTTTTTTAATTTGGTTTCCCAAGGCTTGGACAATGATTACATGTCGCACTGGTAATTCGACGGCGTTCTTTTCAGTAATCGTAGCTACATTCACTTAGTGATGTCACAAGTTAGATATTCTAAGTAATCTGTTATATGTATTGAACGATAGATGCCTAATAAAATAAACAAGTAAATATATATAATAAATGCATTTGGGGAAAAGGATCATAAGGTTAAATTATAATTTACTTATTTTATTTTGCCTATACAAGGGGGAGGGGCAGGGGAGTGCTCGAAAGTATTAGAAAAAAACAGCTGGGACCTTAGCCGACATTGTGTGAGTTATACTTCGAACATAATACTATCAAAATATCCTAGAAAACGTTATATCTTAAACTTAAGAATTCCTTAGTTAGTTAATATTGTTAGAATAATGTTAAAAGATTGTTTACATATTAAATCTAACTCATTTGAGCTAATGTTTTTGTTGGAGTCAGAGAGTAATATTAAAACAAACTAATTTCAAGTGTAAAGAATAAATTTCATCGAAATTCCAGATTAAAAATGTTAATTTTGGTCTAAGACGTTTTACGTTACATGTTAGTCGACGAAAGGATATGTTTTATAACAAAAAATGAGGTTTAATTTGTTTGTTATATCACAGTATTTGTATAATTAATTTTAAAACATATTAGAACTAAATTCGGAATATTGACAATTGCCATACAGTTTTAATTACTCAAGTAAAAAATGAATGGACCTAAAATATAATAAAATTAAAAATCGTTTTAACGTTGGAGACTTCAAATATTATAACTAGGTCGATATTTTTTTTATTTAAAAAAAACATCAAACATTTTTGTTTTTTAATTGTTCTTAATTTTTAATGTTGCTCTATTTTCATTAAATTAAACACAATGTTAAAGATTACTGAACAAAATGTTCAAAAAATAATGTCTTGAACACGGTTTGAGGTAATAAATTGAAAAGCCTTTTTTTATAAATAAATGTATACTTAATTTATTTTAAATATATATTTTTTATGAACTTTTAAATATTGATAAAAAGATATTTGTTTCATTTAATATTTAAGTGTATCTGAGCACACCCTATACAGGTTCACGCCAAGGTCAGGTTGTCATTAATATTAGGTATACATTATATAGGTACCCTTAATTAGTTTATTTTGTTTGGTGGTTTGCACTTTTAGCTTCGGTGCAGAGCAGAGTGTGTGGGCTTTTTTTTTGTCTGTACACACTGTAACTTTTTTAATACTGGGCCACTTCCTTCGTGTAGCAACTCTATAAGTCACAAATTTCATCTAGTTGGTACTTTAAGGTGGGTTAAAGTTGAAAAAGTTTACTTTTTCATAGTTAAAATTTGAAAAAAAACTGGTCGATATAAAGTTTGGAACAAATATTTATAGATAATTTGAGAAATAGTCTGAAGGACAACTTTAACAGCTATCATTAATTTTAGAAACTCAAAATAATAATAACAAATAAGGCCAGTACAGTGAGGTCAGGGCATAATGGAGTCGGAGCATGATGATGTCAGGGCATAGTGGGGACGGGGAGGTTACAGTTTCAGAGGCATTTTTAAATCTGTAAGTGATAAAACCACTAACTAAACTCGTTAAAAATCCAAAAAGGGATGTTAATAGACGCGAAAATTAAGTAAGGTGACCAATGATATTATTTGATTTTTTATCAAATTATAAAAAACATGTGACGCCCGAAATAATGTTTTATTTTTATTTGGGTTACGTTGCCGATGGTTAGGTTATTAATGGTGGGAGAGTAATTTCAACTGCCTAATCGGGATATTAAAAAACAAAAACATCTAGATATTTTCGTTTATCGAAAATGCTCTGGGAACAGATCTACTTTACCGGACACCCTTTTTTTTTAAATTTTTTACTATTTTGCATGGTGATTGGGAATATGTAAAAATTTTGCCCCGCTAGCACTTAGTTTGAAAGTTACATACTTTTATTGTTCATCGATATCGACAAGTGTCTAGAAGTTGTTGTAAAATAACGTTATTTTCACAGTAAATAGAGTTCTTAATCTGTGCTTAAGCGTGTTTAAATTTTCAATAATTCATTTCACTAAATGTCTATACAAATTTGGTGAATTTAGCATTTTTAATTATAAAGAACCTATTGTGTTCTTTAACATTCATAAACATAAATTAACTTAAAAATGGTCTAGCGTTTTATGGTACAAAATTCAATGTTAGACGTGTACATCAAATAGACATGCACATTGGTCAACATGTTTCCCAACAAAGCCATTTTTTTAAACAATATTTTTATACATCGTATATTTATTATTTATATCAGAGTGAAAATGCATCTTGTACTTAATGGACGTGCGCTCTCGCAACACAAACGAGTCTCATCTAAATCTAACAAGATTTGCATATCCACGATATTACAGTGTAGACTTTAGTGCTATGTTAAAATTAGATCACTTGGTCTTCTGTTGAGTTTGATCATGAATACACTATAATTATTGAAATACACATTATTCTTTAAAGGCGCTGCTTAATATAGTATTAAACTGTTATGCGTAAGAGCTATAAAGCGTATAAAGCTAGCCATTTTTACGGGTTGTATTTAATTAGCATAAATTAAATTTAACTATAAGTGTAAAATTTATTGTTATAGTCAAATCTTTACATCGGACCATAAAAAGACAAATTAAGTGCGATTAACTCTAGGTATAATCAAAGTATTCATTCTAGATGATAATGATTCAGACTATGATAATGCAAATGTTGGACAAGTATGATTGTTATTTGTAGGTTTTTGTGTTGCATTTGAGTCCTAAGGTCCTAACTAAATCTAATTAGAACATTCAAATTACAATCATTCGACTTATTTAAACGATATTTTTATTAGATTATATTATTTAAATTACATTAAAAAGCACATATTTAAACAACAAGGCTAATGTACCTAACAAGAGTTTTAACTTATCACTACAAGAGCAAACACTGGCAAAAGCGAACGGTTTGTATAATACTATATGATGTAGACAATACAACCACTGATAATACAACAATCAAAATTATGATTATACCAATACATTACATACATAACATTATAACCCGATAGTTGAAAATAGTAACGTAATATTCCAAAAATACATATTTCTAGAAAATTCTATGACCAAATTGCATTTTTTTTTTCAAAGGGCAAATCATTGTAAAACTTACACCTACCATCCCCTCAGCTCTGTATCAAAGCTACAATAAGAAAACTTTTTTTGGTGTTTAATTTATATATTTTGCCAGGTAGGTATTACTATACTTTGTATTTATACATTTACAAGGCTAACATCGTGACAAATGTATTTAAGTATTAATAACAAATGACATCTCTGTTGTGGTTTGTTAATACCAATAAAATATATTACAATTATTGTGTTGAAGACATTTTTCAGTGTTGAGTGTTGAGGGGATGGGTGTTAACTACAAATTACTAATAATTAAAAATATCATGTTGCATAATTTTATTTATGAATATAAATAATATTTATAATCATGTCAAGTTGAAATAATTTAATTATAGGTAAATACACATTTATATTTATTACAAAATCAGTCACTAGTTATCATTGCAACTGTCAACTTGTTTATCCTCTTCATCCATACTTAACTTTTTTTCTTCGATTTTTCGTTAGCAAAAGTTCGGATAATATCTTCGAAGTCTAATGGTTTTAAAAATTCACTCTCGATGTTCAAAGTTCCAAGATTTTAGTATTTTAGTTCGGAAGTTATATTTTATTGATATAAATATTAATGCAACACTATCATTATGTGGTATTAGGCATTGTTGGAACTTTAACACGATTTTTATCTTTTTAACAATACTTTATTTTCTGCAAAAGTATTAAAATCGGAAACTGAAGAGATAAATACATAAAACTGGAATGCCATTATTTAAGACCTTAACCTAGTCATGGTAGCCTTAAATACCGGTCTAGTGATTTGAACAGAATTTAATAAAGCAACATTTATTTTTAAAAATTGCATGTTTTCAATAAAGAAATCACATTTGAAAATCATTTACTTCGCTTTTTTTTTTTACATTAAAGACCTTGAGGCGGAGACCCCCCATCTATGTCCATTACACATGTTATGGCCCTTATTTTTATAGTTTTGTTCAGTTGAATATTATCATTAGAAGTCAACACTAACTATAAAAAAAAATGTTCTGTAACTTCTATTACTGTGATCTCCACTCTAGCTCTTGGTTTGATACCAAATCAATCATGAAATTTCTACTCAATAGTTGGTACAGAAATAGAGGATTTTCATAAATATTTTTTAAGATATTTTTATTAAAAATTATGTATTATATTATGTAGTATGACAATTAAATCGATAGCAATAATTAATATATCATAATGTAAAATATTGGCTATACTGTAACGAACTATGCTCTACGAGCACATGCGTGATCGACCTTCTGAAATACTTGAGCTCGTGAGATCTATTATTTATAGATAATCTAACCAAAAAGCCCTTTTTTATGAATTTAGAGGGATTAATTGTTTAATCGTCCGACTAGATGTTGTTTGCCAGTGGATACAAACTAATAAGGCAAGTAAGCCTATCTTTTATAATTATTATTATATAGAATTTCTGTAACAGAGTCCGCCGCCCACAATCGATTACTAAGTAATGGCTATCAGACTCTTACAACTTACATGAATACCTAGTGTTAATTAAATTGAAAACATTGTTTACGATTTATTTTCGACTAAAACAAGTGTCGGCTACACTACTGTTCTTTTATTTGTAGTTCGGTGGAAATACAGTTCTGTTAGTTTGTGTTTCTGGTAATTTATTATTCGGCAAAAATACGGTTCTGCCGATTTGTTTTCGGTTTTTTATGCGACTCGCCTATAACTACGTTGTATTTATACAGAAGGTACAATCATTGTTATTGCACCAACACTTGATTTTGTTCATTTCAGTAACGTACACGAATCCAACAATTTGTCAAATCACAACAGGTAATATGAGTAGTTAAACTATAAAAAAAATAATAGTTTTTACAATCATCACAGTAGACATACCATATATTATCTCAAATCAAAATTTTGCAATCAGATTCTACAAAATCTCCAAGTTCTTTTAACACAAAAAATGTCTGATTCGAATGTAAATTGAAAAAAAATATGCATTAATAAGTACAATATGTTTATGCCGGTCTGGGTGGAACTGATAAATGAATTTAATATTATATTTAATTTAATATTTATATAAAATTTATTGAAATTAGCGTTTCACAATTTATTCGAATGAAAAATAATTTAAATAATTATTTTTAAAACTATTCGAATAAAATAAAATATTTCTATATAATATACTGGTTTTATATATTTCCTAAATGTAGAATGTATTAAAATTCTACGTAATAATATTCCAAACATTATTCTTGAAAAAAGCACTTACAAACTATTTGTATAATATTTTTTTAAATAATTATTTATATTATTTATTTATTCGAATGAAAAAATGGGATATTATTCGAATAAATCTTTCTAAATTTAATCGAATAATTCTTTTTAAATTTAGAAAATAATAGTATTTATGAAGTCCTTTAATAAAAAATATAAATTATTTGCTATTTTCATCCCGATGACGTGGGCAAATTACTTAACTCCTACTTTACACAAGACCTACTTAAAGGGTGAGAAATTTAAATATACAATAACTTCGGATAAGGACAAATTTAGGATGGTCATTTTTTAAAAACATTATCCGGAAACAAACAAACTACATTTTTTTTTCTATATTCTGTTTCTTGAGTGGGATGATAATATATTAATATTTTTTGAATGATTATCCTTGTTAGGGTTGACAGGTTTCCTTAATAAGGTTTGGTATATAGACGGGAAAATGCCGGAATTGCGGAGGAAAAGTATTCCGGTACCAATTATTTAAGGTCAAGGGAGATGTGCAGGAGTGTGGAATATAGAGGTATACAATTGATTAGTCACAGTATGAGGCTTGGGAAAAGGTGATAGAAAAGAGAATATCGAAGAATCAACTTGGGTTTATACCAGGGAAATCAAGTATTGAACCAATATTTTGTATGAGGCAAGCTGTGGAAAAGTACAGAGTAAAAAAGAAAACTGTGTATGGTATTTATAGATTTAGAAAAGGCATATGATAGAATTCCCAGAGAGGTTTTGAGGTGGATGTTAAGGAAAAAACGAGTGCCGAGGGTTTTTTTTTATATGATTAACCATGTAAGGGTGGTTGACAGGTTTCCTTAATAAGGTTTTGGTATATAGATGGAAAAATGCCGGAGTTGTGGAGTAATCTGGTACCAATATTTAAGGGCAAGGAAGATGTGCAGGAGTGTGAAAATTATAGAGATATAAAACTGATTAGTCATAGTATGAAGGTTAGAGAATAGATTGTAGAAAAGAAAATATCGAAGATATTCAATTTGGGTTTTTGCCAGGGAAATCAACTATGGAAGGACTAGGGTGGCCGGCCCCATGTAATTGGGAGTGTAAGGCAATAATAAAGAAGAAGAAGATATGGACTATCTAAAGAATCTTTACTGCAATTTTGTGCAAACACATATTTATGTATTACTATTGAATTTGACATTATACCGTTATTTTTTTTTAGATATCCATTGAAAATGACTAACAATAAGCTACAAGTTTTGTATTTTTATGCGGTTACTATTTGCATTGTTACAAACAATATAAAATGCGCATCGCAAGATGGTAAGACCTAAAAATTTGAATCATTTTTTATTACATTTTTTTAGTTTCGATGCCGAACTGAGATTTATAAGATTCATATTTATCTATTAAACTGTGTACAGATTTGTTTTAATATTTTGTACATTATAACATAAACATGATATACATTTTGAACAATAATTATTAAGTTGTACTAATATTTTTATTGACAACTATTTGGATTGATCATATTAAGTTTTTGTACGATTTTTAGCTTTAAATTTTTTTTGCTGTATACAATTTATAAACTAGTATTTAATTAAAAATAACGCAGCCTTACACATATAATTTGACCAACTTTTACCCCAAAATCCAGAAGGCTTATTTATGCAATGTGATATAATTTTTAATTAAACGCTTCGATGCAAATTTTGACACACTAGACCTCACTTTAACACTTTCTAAATGTGCTTAGTTTATATTGCACTGGATTAAACTTACTACCCACAGATTCTCACCAAAGCATTTATTTGAGAGGATTTTTATCGATTTCAGCTATAATAATTACTGTACAACTGTGACCTCGCTGACAATTTGATATTTTACGAAATTATGATAGTATAATTTATTATTCCAGAATACCGTGATCAGATTTGTAAGACCAGTGAGTTACAAATACAATTTTTTTTTTAAGTGATTTAGACAATTTGTAACGTTATTTCATAATATGTAATTAAAAATTTATTCATTTGTGTCGTTATATTGTGTTAATTTTTGTTACAAATTCGCTAAATAATTTAACGCTTTGTCCTGATCACAAAACAAACAAAATTGCCTGTAAATAAGTGCCTATTAATATTTTATTACTAAAATATAAACTGAACTGCCATATGCTACATTAATGTGTTTGTGACCTTCAAAACGAGAAGATGTTTTATACGTTTTCCAAACAATATTTTTTTATGTATAATAAAAATACTCTTTAATTCCTTGTTTAAACTATTTTAGCAAAGTCAAACATTTTTAAAGTAAATGTGACTCAAACATTTAACTTTAGTTAATAAAAAATACAGCCATTAATCCCCCAATACTAGGGCTATTAAAAATTACCATCAAGATTGTAATTTAGTAACCTCGGATACATAACCTACAATTTTTTTTATTTAATGGTATACATTTTTAGCAGTTATAGTTTTAGCCAACATCCGGCTAGTGGTTTATCAAAATTAAAGACTAAATCAGTATGGAGGGCCACAAGCTAAATATAGTACAAGCAACCATTACATAGTTATGTTATAGAACTATTTTTTTTTTGTGTATTTAGCCTCTTATGATCGCTTTGACTATATTGTTTATTGTATTTGTTAATTATGTAAAATTGGTTTTTTTTTAGACTACATACTTAGAGATTTAAATGACGGTGAGTGTTTATATAGTTAATAATATAGTATATTATAATTAAGGGAAAAAAATAAAAATAATTTTACAGAAAATATGAAGTTTGGCAAAAATAAATAGGCACAGTCTAAACTCTAAACAGCGCCATACTTTTAATGTAATAAGGCAGAATTATTCCATCTCACCATGTTTAGATTTTACAGTTATTTTAACCAATATTCTGCATTTATATGGTCAATTGAAAATAGTACTATCTAATCCATAATGACCATATCATAATTAAGGGGCTGGGTGCAAGAAGAGCAATTTTTAGAAAAACGTATTTTGAGATTAACGAAGTTAAAATTTCAAATATGTAACACATTTTTGGATCTGCTCACATGGTAAACGCTTCTGCAGCGCTCTATTTTTAAAATTGTATACACATATAGTATAGAGATCGCTGAGTTCAAAAAACATTTGAGCAAAAAGGGCATTTCCGTGAAAATGCCTTTCTTGCACCCAGCCCCTCAATGTCCCTATGCATGTCTCCTAAATTAGCATAATATGATATAACTTACAGTATGAGCAAATTTTCATACTGTGACTTAACTATCATTGTATTTAAAAGGTGGATGTTTAAATATTATCATGTGGCCAGTGCAGTGGTGTATAATTATGTTTTCTAAATATTTGCTAAATTATAAAATTTACTTAAAAATGGAAATTCTCTTTTTTTTTGGTTATATTTTCACGAAATTTTGTTTTAACCAATATTAACGACAAGAATTGTAAATTAATCTGTTGGTCATATATGATGAGATATAATAAGAATTATAAATTACACTGTATTATCCCAACCTAATATTACAACCTTAATATTTCAAAATTATAATTATTCACTTCCAACTGTCTTGTTTCACGGTTATGTCTCGTGGCTATCATGTACTTTGTTTTTATCTCATTTATCATTAATCAAATTTGTTCACATATACTTCTATCAATTTGCTAATAGTTCTCATTAGGTTTTCCTCACTCTCCACCATTTTTATAACATCATCTTCATATCCTGCCACTACCAGGTGCTGGACATTTCTTATTTTGATTCCTGTGGCTTCAGCCAAGGTCTCTCTCATAATTAATTCTAGTGCTATATTGAAAAAGGCTGGTGACAAAGCATCTCTTAGTCTTCAGACTAAGAGATCTTAACTATTAGCTTATGTAGCTGCTGTATTAATTGCGCTACTCCTTTCTTAAGACATTCCTGTATTATATCATCTGCTTCAGGTGTTTTTAATTTTTTAGCATTCCTAACCCAGTCTCCTCTTCCTCCATTGATGGTCGTTCAATATTTTGTTCAACCGTGTCATGTTCTTCCGATGCTACGTTATGTCTTATAAGTTGTTTTAAGAGTGTCTGAAACATGTTCTTGAATGTCTTAGCTTTTTTGTCATTTTCTGTTAACATAGTCCCATCTTCCCATCTTACCATTGTATGCCTCGACTTAAAACCTTTCCTCATCTTGTTCACCTTTTCCAAAATCTTTTATTTATCCTAATTATTCCTTTTGCCTCTCTCTATCTTATAGCTACATTCTTTTATTCTCCTCCGTTAGATTGATAAACAATTATAGATTATCTGTGCTATGCCTACCTCACTTAAATGTTTTATAAAATATTGAATGGTAATTACTGAAGTTTATTTAACGAAATCATTAATCATTTGTTTTTGTACTTTGATTCCAGATCAAAAAGAACAACTGGTCAACCAACTCATTCAAGGATACACAGATGGTATTGTTATGTGTAAATTATTATTTTGGTTTTAAGTAAACTCATTTTTACAATATTAGGCTATTTAATTGCCATTGCTTAACGAATAGTTTTGTTGTACTATCAATACCGTTTGTCATGTTGCACACTTTATCAGTACATTCAATCGTTCATTTAAAAATTGATGTCTAAGGAACCGTTAAATTTGTATTAATTTATTAAACGTTCACGCAACTCGCATGCACTACTATTTCTTTTTTTTTAAACAAATTATTTGTGTTTTTTTTTCAGCGCGAATTCAGGTTTTGATTTTTCCGCCAGGTAAACAATTTACAATTGTTTTATACGATTAGGTAATATCATAGACCTACAAAGTAATGAACTGGACCTACCACACTGCACCTCCCATTCTAACTTAAAGTTTAAATAACATTAAAAGAAATTATTAAAAACTTGTTATCATCGAGTCTAAATATTCATCAAATAATACATGGTCATCTTGAATTTTAAAGAAGAAATGTTACAAAAATTATTGAAAACCGAAAACAGTTATTTGCAATAAAAAAAAGGTCGTTTTTATTTTATAGTGCAAATGAGTATAAATTTATTTTTAAAAAAAATCTTACACCATTCACTAGAATAAGAGTTATCTCATTTTTCTAATCTTTGTAAGACACCCTGTATTAGACAGTATTCTTTGAAATGTTGTTAGTAATGTGTATAATTTATATATATATATATATATTATTGTAAGTTATAACTATTAGGTATGTTTGAATGAAAAACCCTGGTAGATCTGCATTCAAGATTAAAAAATTGATTAGTTTTTGTGATATCAATACCTTTCCAGTTCCTCTTTCAATCTATACCTAATATGTATATATGTAAAATCACAATGTTTAATAATAATACAAATTGTAATACTATTAGTAATATACCTATGATCGATGTTAAATGGTATAAGATGATACGACTTGCCGATTCATGATATTCTCTTTATCTGATTTTATTGTTAAACTTAAACTATGCATCGAATATCAAGAGTTAATGTGTATGTTTTAACGTGTATTTGACTTTTTTTACAGTTCATTAACACTACACATTTATAACTAACAAACTATTTAGAGGATGTCCGTAAATCTACATGTTAATGTAGTACTTAAGATGTAGTTTTAAATTTTTTTTTTCTAAATTGAAGCGCATAGAGCCAGAACAGCCTAACCCACAAAAATGTAATTGCGCAGGACGGGCATTTAAAGTTTTGACTACTTTTTAATTTTTTTTTTCTTATTAAATCCACTCCAAGGAAAATAACAAAAACTCATTATTATGTATAAATCCTTGCCTTTTAAACCATCTATAGAGTACTGATCAATTTAAGGGCCACTATGGTTCTGAAATTATATTTCATACTCACAGTGTCAAAAACAATTATGTGCTGCCATCTAGTGAATAATTTTTTTTGTAAGATAGGCCATAGTGCATTTCAAATAATATATCAATCTGAAACGTTTTATCACATAAAACAGATTTTGATTTTTTGTGGGTTAGGCTATTCTGGCTCTATGCGCCTCAATTTACCGGTTTTATTATTAATCCATTAATATTGCAAGCTGGTAAATTTATTTAAAAACAAAATTTGCTTAAACACAAAATGTACATAAAAGTATTATTTTTGAATTAAGCTTTTGATTATAGTGGCAGTCGATTACCTAAATATATATACAACCTTTTAACAGTAAAGTATTATAAATTCGAATCTATTTTCAGTCACTGCGTTTTTCTCAAACAGAGTCAAGGCGAGAGGTAAAAAATTATCGTCCGCGTAACTTATAATTAATATCTAGTAACTATGTTTATTCATGAAGTTTTTTTGTGATATTTTTTTTATGGTAGGCAGTGAAATTTTACATATAATAAATTATTTTAATGGGGTTTTAATGTTTTAATTATAGCTTTTGAATCAATAATAACCCGAGAATGGAATATACAAGAATTATTATCAGTTATCATAGGTAACTAATAATATATTAATAATAATAATATGTTAGTATATTATATCGTTTCTAATAGAAAAGGGTAACATGGCCTACTTATACGCACGTTTTTTTCATTTTCCAGTGTTATATTTTTGTATTTAATGTATCTACTCATTGACTTTTCTAAACCTTAAATTACAGTTTAGTAGTTACAAATTACAATACAGCAAGCTTTTTCCATCTCTCTCGATTGCTAACGACTTTATTGGCGGTCACGTTTTAAAACATTAGCTCGATAATTATTGTCCATAAATGCTCGATTGGATTTATACATATTCTATGACTAAAATAATAAACTTAAATAAGATTTATTATATACATTTTTTGGACCCTTAATTATAAGAGTAATTATTTTTATTACAGGACGAGAGCCAACAATTGATTCAATTAGTAAGTATAACAGTTTTCTGCAGAACAATTATTTAGTAGTATTTGAGTGAATATTACAGTTGTACAATGTGCTTAAATAAGACTATATTAATAATGGTGAATTAAAAAAGTTGAAAATTCTTATCTATAGTTTACATGGTATAACTTAAATGTTAAAAATAAAACTAAATACATCATCTGTATGATATTATAGACCCAATCGACTATGACACGGCAGTAAACAGCAGATATGTTGTTTTACATACTATTTTCAACTATGTTCTACATCAAAGAATGAGTAAGCATTTTTATAATATTTATTTTAAAACGTCGTTAAACCCAAACTTTGGCATATACATAACCTATCTATGTGTAGGTAATTAGTACTTATGGGTAAAAAAAAAATACTTTTAAGTCAGTAGAACAATGACTGTAGTTTAAAGTCCAGCAATAGCAACCACATGATTCAAGCAAAAGCTAATGTATTTATTTTTTAACACTTAGCTAGATCCGGAATATTTTATATGTTTTTTATTATTTCTTGCATTAATTTGTAGTATTTAACGATTACCTATATTTCTTTTCAATAATTATGTCGTATGGTTTTAGATCGCATCCAAATGTGCAACAATGGCGAAATCACAAAATGCAGATTGCTCGGGATAATAACGCGTGCATTAAATCCTGGGTTTAGATATACACAAGGATGTAATGAAGTATTAAATTGCGTTATAGGATTGGAAGCAAAAGGCGATAGACCTGTACAAATGATCGAGTATGTAGATTTGATACTTCCGGAAGGGTTTTTTAAAACAGAACTTGATATGAACTAATAAGAAAACTTGTATTTTAGTTAAAAACATTGTTTTATCTATTAAACTCTTCATGTTTCGATATCAATATAAAAGTGTATTCATTAATAAACTATTATTATAACCAATACCGTCGTCGTATAGCTGTTATTATTTCATGCATTAGGAAAAACACCAGCACCGCACCGGTTGGATCAAAGGAGAATTTAGAAATCAATATAAAAGTAAAAATAGTAGTGATAGTAATAGTATAGTAGTAGTTATAGCATAAGTAATAGTAATAGTAATAATAACTGTGGATGAAAGGTATTAATATAGCTTGCGTACGAGTCCGCATTTATCGGTTTACTTTGTACATGGATATGTCTTATAGCTGGGTGTCATTCTGGAATTTTGTCCGTCACGTTGTGTGTCACAGTGCTGATGTATGCATAATTAATTAAAGTACTTAAATATAATCTGAATTATATGGATAAATATAATCTCATTATAAGTAAGCTTATACTCGTATTATAATAGACCTAAGGTTTTATGATGCTTATTATGTTTAGTACTTAAGTCCCGAATACTTCTTATAATCATTACCTAATCAAATATTATATAATAGGAAGCCGATTATGGGAGCTCTTAAACTTGTTATATTTTCATAAACTTTCGATTTTCAAATAACGACTTATTATTTTGTTTTTTTATTAGGTATTTTTATTAATACACAAGAACATCTCTAATAAACATAACCTAAATCTACCGGTATTGTCTTATAATTTTGTAACGGACCTACTCGACTAGCTGGCTAGACTAAGCAAAGTGGCCGTCGATAAGGCTAAAATAGACGGATCCCCACGGGAAAACGTTTGGCTAGACCGCTGTCTACGTCTAATTGGCCTTAAAGTCTCCCTTATTAATTTAACGTGAAGTAACGGTCAGATGAAATATGTTCGTTACAGCTACTGGAAGGATATCCCTCTCAGTTTAGAGCCACCCCGTTGTCGCATTCCCTCTGCATATGGAAATCGCCAGCCCTGTCGTCGCTTTCTTGGCATAAGCTCGAGGCAAAAACGGAATACCGGGTCTTTGCCAAGTCCTCTCCAAAAGTAGTGTTCTTAAAGTTTGACAATACTCCACATTTAAAAATTCCGCCATTATTAAGTTAAAACCTATTGGGTCACAAACATTGTGGGCGTGCATCCGGTGAATAAAATTTATAAAATAAAATGATGTGTAATCACAAGTTTTTAGAATTTAAGTTAACCTAATGGTTTGGGGAAAAAGCTGCGTAAAAAACCAGACCATTTACAATGTACACTTAAGTAAAAGAATGCACGCGCCTCTAGGTGTCTTTTGATTTGATTGTGCGATAATTTTACAACTATGAACGTAAACAATTTAGATTAAAGAAAGTAATTAAATCCGTCCCCAGGTCGTTACGCAGGTTTGTATAAATGTTAGTTTAAACATTTATACAAACATTTAAAATACGATAAAAAAAAATTACACAAAATATAACAAAGGCATTATTAATACACAGGTTGTCTTAAGAAGACAGTGCGCCTAAAACTTAATATAAAAGTCGACTTAATAAGACATACATATATTATATACTTATGAAATACAGTATAATTAATACATCAATAGTTTTATATAGCCCCTAAATACACATTGCCTTGGAAAATTAATATTTAATTAACTTTTACTGGTTATAATTTCGAGAAAAAGAGTCGGATCGAGTTGAAATGTATAAGAAATATATATTTGGTATGCCCGCACACCTCAGTTGTGTTAAACTTAAACTATACCCATTTCCCACCCCTCTAGGGGGGTACAAGTTTTTTTGTTTTTCGGGGTTTTTAGCGGTAATTTTAAAACTTTTGGGTTGAAAATTTGCCAGTAGTTGGAACTCATATGTGCCCATAACATATTAAACGGGAAAAAAATTCGGCACCACAGTTTTTTTTTAATTGCCGGGAAACTGTGTTTTCGCAGATTGCGTATATTTTAACTAAAAACACTTAAAATCTTAAAAAAATTGATCAAATCATTAAAACAATTTTATGTAGATCTATGCAGAATGATACTATTAAGTTTTGTGCTCAAGTAACACTTTTGACTTTAAGTTTACACAAAGTTCAATTTTTTTTTTTTTTTTTTTACTAAAAACCCGGTGTACCAGATGTGAGAAACGAACAGACACTAAAAACTATCAGTTGGTAACGTCTATCCGTGTTAGATTAGGTTAGGGCCCAATGATCGGTATCATAATATTGTGTTTATTACATGATATCACAGGCGACCAAACCGTGTAACTGATTGTAGTAGAAACTCGATTTATTGGAAAAAACCTATCCGTGTACTTATTAAGACACTAAATGATTCTGATACGACAAAACCACTGTCGTTATCTCGTTATTTTACAGACTGAGTTATATAACCTTGCCGAAGGTCAACTATGAGTATATAAGGTCCAACTACCTGCAAATTATGAAGAGGACTGTTGTTTTTTTGATTCAGATAATGTGTTGGTTTTTATGCAGTATACCGCCTCAAAATGTATTTTTTGTTACACAATTTTTTTAAAGGAAAACTAATGTTTTGCATTTTGTTATACTGTTATTCATTTAAAGAGATTCACGCTTGATTGTTTAAATTGTCTAATATTAGATAATCTGCTTCGTGCTAATATAAATTTTTTAGTTCATCAACTTGTAGCTCTAATTTTGTATAAAATATTCCATTATTTTACTACTTTGTACAAATTAAGATAAATTTTAATAATAATTAAGTCATAAATGATAATACTTCATTTTGTGACTAGATCAAGTCTCGTGAACATTTAACATCATGATACTGCTCCTATGCTATTATTAAAAAAACACAATTTTTAAAATCTCCATAAAAGGTAATAGGTAAATAACAGGCAACAGCCGACCGCTAGTAGCTATCCACGTTAGTAATATTAAACTAATAAGTAATATATGTAGGTAAAATTTATTGTTTTCTTTAAAAATTCCTGTAAACCTGTGACCTCCCCGTCCCTAATATGCCCCGACCCAACTATGCTCCGTCCCCACTATGCACCGACCCCACTGTACTGGTTTTTTTGTTTTGTGTATAATTTAATCATACTACAACACATGTGTTTTCAACTACACAAATTGATTACTATCTCATTAATACTATCTTGTAATCTCTTAAATTTTGATAGGTTTATTTCGTGTTTAATTTATTAGTTGTGGAGGAAAAGAAAATGTAAGTTGAAGATAAGGTAATGCCTAATTTATACGTTAGGAAACCGACATTTTGTGTTGAAAATATATCTTAATTCAACAGTATCCACTGTCAATAACTTCACTTAAATCTAACAATGAGACAATGGGTTTATGATAACTAAAATTAAAGAACGTGAATAAATATATCGTGCAATTTTTTATGCAACTCTAAAATATTTATTTTCGGTAGCATATTCTCTTGTACGTTTAATATTAGTTTTAGGTTCTAGAGCCATTATTGTAGGGAAAATATTTAAAATCAATGCGTACACTGATATTCTTCTTCTTCATTTAGATTAAAAGTTTTTGGCTTGAAACGCAATTTAATTCACATTTCTATCAGTTTCTTCACATGTATTATCAAAAATGTTTTTCTCAATTAAAATTTAAAAATTTACCTGCTCAACTTTAGGTGAAATAAAGATTAAATTACTATTTATGTCTATATTTTGTTCGCTTTAATGTATTAAACATTTTTTTTCATAATTCATTGTGTGTTTGATATTTAAAAACACAAAGTTTTAATTATTTTACCGTGGCATACGAAATTTCACTTCACAAAAATTCCTATCTACCAATTTCTGTAAACATTACCTTTAAGTATCTAAAAAGTTACCTGCCTAAAGCTTTTTTGCATGTCTACATAATTGTCATCTTAGAGTCGAGTTTATGTTACAAAATCTATGTTATACTCTAATTATACTTTTGTATTAGTTATATGGTTTCACTGTAAATGTTAAAATGTATACTGCATATCATTAATATGAATGCTAATATTATATTTTTAGTATGCGTCTAACATGCCTGTTACATGATGTTCCAGACTTTTAAAAAATGTGTATATTTAGTTGATTACTTATAAATCACTGATAAATTTATTTATTGTGCATCAATTACAATTTATTTCCGTGTGTGGTAATTTCTGTCAAGTATTATATTTAAACCGTTACATCACTCTCCTGATTTCGTTTCTCGCGTGAAGATCGTAGCTTTGCATTAAATGCAAACCAGAGGCATATGATCATAAATAAGTAAAAGGCTGAAATGAAATAAATCAGAATAAAATTAGTATTATTTACTATTAAAAATCTATTAAAGTGGTAGTTTTAAAAAATTGTTTAACATACCGTTTCCGATATGATAATGGTGTTCAGTACTGGCGCAACATCCAGCCATACTTAAAATATCTTCATAGTCAATAGTTTTACCCATTATAACGACGTTTACCAACGCTTTTATCGGGTAGATTAAATGTTGAAATATCATATATCCTTCAAAGAAAATGTTAAGTTCATCTATGTTCGGTCCTACGTTCGTTGCTAAGAAATTTAAACCCTACAAACAAATTACACCTAATTATAACGTTCAGGCAGTACCACTACAAGTGTGAATCAAAATGAGTACAATTGACTGTTATATAGTTTTACAAGAGAGCAAAATGAAAATTATTTTTTTTATCGGCGGAGTCCATGTTTTTTTTTTGTATGTCTTTTTATTAATTTGTTTAAAATACTAATTTTCGTTAATATACCTACTCGTGATTATTACTACCGTGGAAATCGGGACCATAAAGAGTAATTCCGACCATATATAACCACTGACCAAGTGGTGGGGAAATGACAGCAGAATGCTCCTTATATTCAGGACATCTTGAAAAAAACTGCGAACGAACGAGATGGGCTGAAGTCGTCTCGGATCTGTATATTTTATACGGGTAAGCAATAAGCATATGTCAAACCGATCAATCACAAGCCG